GACCCAAAACGTCCTTTGCAACAGTGCGGGTGCGTGTTTCGCGGCGCTGCCGTTCAAATTGCTGCACGAGTCCATGACATACTGGTTGCGAGGCCAACAGGTTGCGTGGACAGTAGCGTTGCCGGGGAGTGGGGCAACAACTGCAGACAATACGAGCATGTATTCACTCCAGCCTTCTTTACGGTTCTTTCGCTGCGACCGAGCACTTGACCGACCTGGACGTCAACATATGTGGCCCCATGTGACGGAGAAGGCATAAAGACGCAAAATGTCGAGCCTTTCCTCCTTTGTGAGGGCACGTGGGTGCTCAGACTTGACAAAAGCAACGACTTGTTCATTGCATAGGTTGCAAAATAACCATTCGTCAAATGCCAAGGGATTTGCTTGCACCAGCTGTTTCACGAAAACCTTCGACTATCTATATAGTTCGGTTACGGTAAGATATGTGTTATGGGAGGACTTAAAGTTCCACAGTTGAAAATGACTACATGTACTCCTGGAGTACTACATGAATCGAGTATATTTCACAGCCTACTTAGTTTTAGAGTACTGTACTAGTACTGATCTCCCCCCCCCTCCGAAACGGAGCACAATATGCATATTACACAGTAAATAAAATTCTACAGGTACCCTTTACTACAACAATCAACCATTCTCCATCACTTGAATATACCCGAGAAACATACGTTTACAAAAAATTATCAAGTTTGACCCGTTTCGAAGTCGGGGGGAGATCAGTAATCTATTGATAGATCCTGTTATGGATAATACTATCCACATACGAAATTCGAGATGATTTTGTGTTGATTTGATCATAGGTGCAGGCCACGTTGGCGTTCGACTTCAAAAATGTACGATCAGTTACTTTCCACTCTCCAGCGCGTAGTACGCCATGGCCCACATCCCTGGAACCACCAGCACGACGAGAGAGAAGCATGCGACATACGTTGTGAAAGCAAGTTACACAGGCGAGTGTACAGGTCATCGTTGTGAAGGGCATGCACGTGCATACCGACCGCATAGCTGAGCTCACCTCAACAGGTGGATTGAATGCTTCACGAATTGTCTTCTCCAGCAAGCGCCATGGTCTCATGGTTACGCCATGTCATCATCTCTTCTCAACGTCGCCCACGAGCTCGACAGACGATACATCGAGCTTGGGACGCGTTGTGCCACCAATACTAAACTCTACCCGTGTACATGTGTGGAGCAATGTTGTGGCTTAGCACGTAGATTCAAGCGGAACACAGCTCCACCGCGTCGTGTGTAATCGACGGAGGCGTTCCCTGTGAAGGACACTCACCGTGGCTACCTCATGGGAGTCTGGACGAGGGCAAAACTATGGCGTGCTGAGTTGCAAGGTCAAGCAGACATTGCAGTCTGTTCTCGACGGGTCCGAGGGCAAGATGCCGTGCATCTTGCCCCCCAAGAATGGTCCTGGTGTCGACGCCACCAAACAATGCATGACAATTCATTGGTTGAAAATGTTGGCATTTTATCCACTCCTGTGCCATCGTGCAGGCCGATCTTTTCTTGACACGGAAGCGAACGGGCAAAAAAGATCATATGAAGAACAATCGTAGATACAAATTCCAAGTCGAAAAAACCTGCGGTGCATTCATATTGCGAGTTTCCAGCAGCACGAAACCGCTGTGACTGGTGCTCGTGGGTGGGCCATTTGTACTTGGGCGAGCGACGCCGCCAAGGATGGACGAAACCGCGCCATCGATGAATCGCCAACAGCAGCAGTACCACCACCATCTCCACGCACGAAAAGTGTCGGGCATACACCAGGTGCCTGCGACCATGTCGTTCCTGGATCCGGGGCGTGTCCGGCAAGCAACATTGGTGAATAGAATAATGTCATCGACCTCCATGCTTGCTAACGGTCAAGCTTTTGAAGATGACGAGCAAGACATATTGCGACACTTGCTTGGCATGGAGTCGACGTCGTCGACATCGCTGAACATGCAACCAATCCAGTACCACCGCCGCAGTGGTGCGATTCAACAAGCGTCGGCCAGGCCATTTACGGACTTTCATGCGGCATCAAGATGGGGTGAAGGCCCGCGTTGGAGTGCAGAAAACAAGTGTTTTGCAGAAGCTGTTCCCGTGGATCTCGCCAAAGTCGCGATTTCAGCCGAACCGTCATCGCCGTCCGTTCTACCTGTCAAGAAACCCCACGAATGTGAGATCTGTCACAAACAATTCCGCGCCAGGTCTGAGTTGATCACGCACGAGCGCATCCACACCGGCCATAAGCCGTTCAAATGCATGTACGAAGGGTGTACCAAGCGTTTTGCTCACAGCTCCAACTTGGGTAGGTGCCATGCTAATACACCAAACACGACAATTCTTACATGTACTGATGTCTAGGCGCACATCACAAGGCTCATCAAGGCATCAAACCATACGTGTGCATGCACGAAGGGTGCGAGAAGCGGTATGCCCACAGCGGGTCCCTCAAGGAGCACGTGTGGAAGCACTACGGCGTAAAGCCTTTCAAATGCAGCCACCCCGACTGCGATCGAACATTTACCCAGCGGTCCAACTTCTCGCGGCATATGAAGAAGTGCCATGGTGTAGAAAATAAGGAGAGCAGCAGCACATCCACGGGGGCGATGTCGGCGCTGACAACGACGAGCTGTCCATCGTCACCAGAGATGAAGCATGAGTTAAATTATATGTAGGCCGACCTGGCCACCGCTGCAGCCACAGGAGAGCGCAGGTCGGAGTGGCGCTAGTGTCGCAGTTTGATTTATTGACCGTAAACATGAATTCCTCCATGCATAACTAATGTGCATGGCGGAAGAACTTGACGAGCAACAGGTTGGGTTTGAAGAAAGGATGGATACATTCGCATGGCTACACAAGCAAATACCTATCTAGACCCAACCAAGACGGATGCGTCGCGTACTTAGATCTCGCGCTTTCCCAGCAACTCCGTGATTGCAATCGCGGACGTGTACGAGTTGGCCGCGTACGTGGCGTAGTCTCGTTCTGTCGAGTGCGACGGCTTGACGTATTGACGAGGCACATCCGGGAATCCTTCCGGCGACGTGTACTTGGCTTGTTGGTGGCGAGTGGCGAGGCGTCGGAACGACTGTTCTTCGACAACACGGTTTTGCGCGTTGAACGCAGCCCCTTGCAGAACTTCCTATACACGCCCACACACCCCGTTATGTCGAGTCACAACCATGGCACACAATCATTCAATCGTACGAGTTCCTCGCGAGCGCTGCGCTCCCGGTTCTTCATGCCGCCGTTGATCCAGTACGTGAAGGGCGTATCCATGGTCGTGCGCTCTCAATTCAACGATGGTGACGGTGCTGAAGGCGTCGAATATTATTCAACTTTAATACAAAAATCAAGTATAAATATTTAATTTCCAGCGTGGCTGGCTTAGCGGAGCGGAGATATCGCACTTTAGAAGACGCCTAAGGGTCGTACTTACACGAATTATACATGGTTCTATGTCACTGTCAGTGCGCTCTAAGCCTTGGCCAAGCCAAGCTATGGACGGTCGGCGACCTGGATCGGCATCGATTTGGAGGCAGCCAAGCTGGAAGGGCACATCAAGGCTCGTATAAATAAATCTACAGCATGCATCAATGCATGCTGGTGAGGGGGATACGCCGATTCTGGTGTGTACCTTGGTTCCTTTGAACTCGCCAATTCTAGTCGGCGTCCACGAAGGGATGGAGAAGATGTTGGTGCAAATCTTGACGCCACGAGCACGAGCTTCAGTCAATCTATCAACACATCATAGATTGTCAGTAAGTTTTTACGAAAGGGAGGAATAGCTCGATGGAAAATGCATTGCTCACTGAGGAAGCAGAGCTTGAATGCCCTTTGGCACAAGGTACAAGAATATCAACGTTGCGTCCGAGAAATCTGCTTGTGTAGCGTCTTCATGGCGAATAGTGACGTTGTCGCCGAGTTGGTGCTGTTCCACGGACACACTAGCGCGACGAACAAGCTCTGCATCGTACTCGATGCCCACACACTTACACCCAGTCGAGAGCGCCACCGCGACCAAGAATCGCGCATCCCCGCATCCAATATCGTACAAAACGTCGCTCTTTTGTGGTTGAATCATCTCCATCGCAACTTGAATCGCTCCATCCCCCGTCGGATTGAACGGCGCCAGGTTTGTCGTCGAGACTGCCGCCGACATCTTCGAGATGCAGGACTATCCGGATAAATCACCCTTTTCGAGTGTGTTACTGTACTAGTACTCTTCTTCCTACAAAACATAAACCTTTGTAATTGAATAACTGTGGAAAATTGGTTACCTTCCATTTCCCATAATTGTGTGTGTCAATATCGTTTTGGTAATACTTCGAATTTGTATGTTAGCTGTGCATTCGAGAACTCTAATATTTTGTATAGAGTCTTGACGTCCGGGACTGTTCGAAATACACAACGTGCAAACTTGAAATAGTTGTCCCCCGTTACAATTCTTAGTTGCCTTCAGCATGATCGAAATAGTCCATCTCGATATTTCACGGTTTTCGTCCAGTTAATTGATTAAAATGCTCTTTGTATTTTTTGAACAGCGACGATTTTCTCCCATCGACGGCATATCCCTCGAAAAATGGAGGACGGCGCATTCCAAGGCGACGGGCAATTCGTCGGCGACGGTGGCGCCACCTTGCAGGCGTTGTGGTACTCACTCACACGACTCATGTGAGGCGTGAGTGTTTCAACGCATACGATAGGGAGGAGTGGAAGTGGAAGATGATTCCAAACTGTCCAGGTCGATACGTGGTGAAGAAGAACAAGACACTGGCGTCGATGCCTTTGGAAGATGTGATTGCGTCTTTGAGAAGGAATGACGACAACCTTCAACAAGTGCGCAGAATTCGGGTGATCCACACGTCCAGTGACAAGGTTGGCGATGCGGTCCATGTCGCTGTGTTTCCTGATGGAGGAGGCGTGATCACCTACCGCAAATCGTCGAACGTATACGTGCACACGTTGAACACTCAATCGGGCCTGGAGCGAAAGTTAACCGGTCTCAACTTAGCGTCGTGTTTATTTGACAATTCAAGTTGATTTGTCCCTGGGTAACTCTTCGCACCAGCCGAATCAAGATGGCAAGTCTTGGCGCCAAAGGTGCTGCATGGATAGCAACCACGACAATTTCCGCACCAAGTGCCGCTTGTTTCGCTCCAACGCAATCTTTACCAACGACGGGTTAAGCAATTCCGCAACCGACGCTGCAGGGGTTGGAACTGGATGGCATATCAATGTAGACCATCGATGGCTATATCGCCATTTCTCGTTGGGGTATTTCTGTGCATCTTTTGCCAGCCCTCGTGATGCTGCCGGTGCCCCCAACTAGGCGCATTCAAGTGAGAGGTAGCGAGCGGGTCCACAACTCCTGGGCGTAAAAATAGCCTTGTCCCGCCTAAAAATAGCACTGTCGAATGCTGATTGGCACAGATTCCGCCGAGATCCTCGGCACATCATTTGATTTCAGTATATGTGGGCAAAATCCCAAGACTTGGCATGGCTTGTCGATTATAAAAATATTCCCCAAGAACAAGGGGTTTGCATCGTGCTTTTGATCTTACGATTTAATTTCCGCAGCGTATCTCCTGAGGGCGTTTCCATCCTTGAACGTGTGCGAGACAGTCGCCATTCCCAGGATTGGCATTTCCCAACCACCGCCGCGATGACGACGTCCCCAACTCGCTCGTCCATTGCTATGGCATTGATCGACTTTAGCAAGGCACGGGAGCATCCTGCCAGAGACAACCGCGATGCCGCAAGACCGTCCACAGCACGTCCCCCGTTGAAGCGACACAAGTCGTTTGTGCATGACAGCCCGTTGAGCAAAGACGAGCGCGCACCCTCCGTTCAGCGCGCAATTTCGATGGAGCAGATTCGTATGAACTTGATGAAGCGACGAGACAAGCTGACCCAGGAGAAAAACGAGCGTTTACTCCTAATTGAAGCGTTCCGCCGAGCCAAGAACGTCAACATCCCCATGTCCTTTGCCAAGGCACCTCAACAACAAATGTTATCCCCCATGTCCGTGGATGCGACGTTGGCGAGTGAAGTTATGGGGAACATGTATGTCACTGATCATGACATCATTGGGTCAGCGGCCGACATGGCAGCGGGGCTGTTATGCAGGTTCTCGTCGGGGAAGTGCCCACACATCCGCGCTCAAAAGACTGATGGCACATACTTGAATCTGTGCCACATGCATCGAATTCGAGCAGAGGGGAACCAGCGTAAACTGGACGAAATGACGAGGGCGACTTCGACGGGGACGCAACGTCCGTCATCCGCATCCAGTTGCTCCTCCGACAGTCCTCGCAGCACCACCAGCACTTCAAGCGGTCAGCTTGAGTCCATGTACTCTCATGAATTAGTGGCTCTCGTGCGCCGACTCTTGAAACCCACACAGAGACTACAATTTGGCGCATACCGACACACCAACAACCACGACGACGACGAGGAGATTTCCGATCCTGAAAGCGATGATGGCACTCGTAGCAATAGCAGCGACGACACCAATGTCGCTATCCACAACATGCCTTAAGTTGGGTTGATGAATACTGTGTCAAGCCATGGTTTGAACCCGAGCACGCGTCCAGAGCTGAACGATTCTTGTATTTTCGCGCTATCCCAAAGGATACAGAAAGCATGCTGCGAATGGGGGGGGCATTAGCTTGACATTCATGTGTATATGACGAGAAAGATGAGCACGATCAAGACTCCGGTGAGCACGAGAATGCCGCTCAGTTGGCATGTATCTGGGACGTGGATGGTCACGGAATCGGTGGCTGCAACAGCATGGGACTGCTTACCTTTGGTCTTAAGCATCCGACTCATTCGAGACATGACAAAGTTCATGCGCTCCTGCGTATCGTCGACATCCAATTCGAGGTCTTCGAGCATTCTACGTTCGAGGATGGTGATGTCATTTGCTGCGTTCTGAGGCTGTACCTGTTTTGACCTTTGATCTCCGAGTTGATTTCGACGGCGACGTGGCCTAGGCGACTCACGGACGTGTGCAGTTGATCCAAGCTCTCGTCTTGGTCTTTCACGATTTGCTGGACGAAAGAAAGACGTGCGTGAAATATATGACAACATGGGTAGAATGGTCTACCTGCTGTCGGGTCTTTTCGTCGACGAGAATGGAGTTGCGATCTACCGTGGGCGATGGTGACGCAAGTGCCCCGTTGCTTTGCTGCGATGACGACGATCGCAACATCTAACGACCCATGTGATGAGTACGGGCGAATGCCTCAAGAAAAAGCGAACGCACCCTGCGTTCATCGCGTTGGATTCGAGCCTTGACTAAATCCGACGATATTTCCACCGAGATTCTCATCAGTTCCTACCGACGCATCCACGAAGTGAGAAGCATACACGAGAAGCGCTGGTTCAAAACCTGGCGTGTGGACGACACAAAAGTCTTTCGACCCGACAGCTCGACGCTGTCAATATGCGCATACTTCGTGCGGTCGCTTTCGATTGCACGGATGCTTTGTTCGAGGAAACCAAGGGAGCGCTCTGCCGACGCCACTTCTTTCTTCAAGTCGTCTGTTGTCTTTGGAAACCTGTTTGTTGGCGACGACGTCGTGTCGTTCATAAGTAGTTTCCATCGTTTGTGCGTGTGATAGATGGACGACACTTTGGTCTCGAGCTCTCTACATAATGACATCAGGAGGCAGCGGTCGAATCGGTCAGAAGACGTACTCCTTGAAGACATAGTAAGGATCTCCACTGGCTGATGCTCCTCCTCCGACGTTCTTTCCGACAAGCGATGCTTGCATGCTTGTTCGCGTGGCGGCGTCGGAGGGTGGCGATGTCGCGTGGGCGTTTTGTTCTTCCGTTCGAAAATCCATCCGGTTAGATCCGGATAATGGTATTCGAGCAATGTTTCAAAAATGTATACTACATTCAAGCCATCTACGTTGAATAAAATAGTCAACTTTTTGAAACACAACCCCCCAACTTTTTCGCATTCGAATGACCGCAGCACAAAGCACCATGGTGGAAGCGTCAGTACGGCGAGGCAGAGCGTAACGAGTATAAGGACCGTGTAGTGGCTGGGCGCGTTGACGACTCCATGTCAGTCGGTAGCGAGCGCAAATGAGTATTCTCCACTTGGGTAGAAGGCTTGCTCAGTCACAAGGGTACGAAAGCTGGACTTTGTCAGCGTGCTGTATACCCAACTCTGACTGACCATACACCTTCAAGATCATCCGTTGGCGGAGCACCGATTGCGGCACTATGTAACACGCTCTCACATCAAGAACCCACAGCTCGCAAACGCTAGGACATTTTTTATCGTGAGTGGCGACACTGCAGGGTGTCGGGGATACCATCGCTTGTAGAAAAATCTGTTGGCTTGGCCGTTAAAGCCTCTCCATGGCTTTGGCCAACGAAGCCAGGGCGTGGAAGATGTCGTACTGCATAGCAAATCACTTAAAACAACTTATTGAGCACGTCGAGGTTGTCTGGGATGTCTTTGGTAATGTGTGGCGGGGGAAGCTCTGTTGAGATGGAGCGCCGTGATCGACTCACAGACGACTGACGTTTTCGGAGAAGATGTCCTGGGAGTAGAATCGTCTCGGTTGGCTCTTGGATGCGTTCGCGTCGGGGCGCGTTGTCTTCAATGGCCCTGGCGGACGACGACGACGAGATGGATCGCCGGCTGCCCACGCGGCGAATGGTTGGGGAAAAGCATTCTGGCGACAATGACGTGTCCAAGCAGGCTCGACACAGACTCAAGTTGACCGGGCCGTGCTTCAGAGGGACAGGCTTTTTCTCAACGCATCGCGCGCACACGACTTCGCCACAGATGCGGCAGTTGTCTGGTTTTTTGCCGAGGATCCCAAATGAGTCGGCGCCGCAAACGTGGCATTCCATGCCAAGGCGGTAGTTCTTCACTTGGAGGTCGCTCAGGATAAAATCCGAGATCCGACCGAGCTGTCGGGACTCAAAGAACGCTTGTATGCGGCCTAGTGCGTTGCCCCAGTTCTTGAGCGTCGATTTCGCCATGAACCGGGGGGATTTGCCCTTGAAGTCGACTTGGAGCACATAGACCGCATGGACGCTGTGGTCTGGCTGCTCCGTGAACACGTAACCTGACGAGTAGATGCCACCACGGACGATGTCGTACACGGACGTGTCGAGCGGCGGTGCGCCGTCGATAGCGACCGAGTTGGTACATGATATCCATGTCGGTCGGCCGTTGATGGTTCGAAACTCTCGGCTCTGGACGTAGACAAAGTCACGATCCCGCATCACGGCGCTCATGCTTTCGATCATGGCCCAGTTCAACGTGAGATTTTCGTTGATCTTCATGAGCAGTTGCGATCCTTTTACATGGGTTTCAGTCGCCTTGGCAAATTCGTGACTGTCGCGAGTGCGCGAAATGCGCGACAACATGATGTCCTGGATGTCATCGAGGCTCGCGTGCAGTGTTGCAGATACACACAGTGTCATCACGTCTTCGTTCGTGGTCTTGGGCGGCATTGTCGTGTAGTGGAGTGCGCGACTGTCGGGGGCATCGCAGGCCGACGCCATTTGGAGCAACTCCTGCATGGACCGCTTACACACAGCCCGAAGTTGGTCTGCTTGCGCAAGAGACACCTTAGGACGGAACCCTGGGTTGATGGCCATCATGTCCCTCGACGAAAGGTTGCTCGCACCGAACCGAGAACGCGCTCGCTATGAGTTGCGGTGGTGTTCGCAGTCAGCGCTTGTAATTGTGTGACGAGCCACTTTCAATGCAACCATCGAATTAGTGCTAGAAATATTTGCTCTATACGGATGACAACCAAGATCAACTTGCCTTACACTGATAGATTCCTGTACATATGTGCTGGACGTGGGTTGAGTTGCACCAATTTATAAACTCTCTGCCGTCGCAGAGGGTACAATTCATGAACTGTCGTCGACTGCATTTTGGGGCCATCCTCAAATCAAATTTCTCATTTATTGAAAGTTTATTGTAACTTTTAGGTCGGTTTATCCCAATTGCGGAACTGTCTCTATTTTGACGAAAATTCTATATTTTAATGTCGCTTGGATTTGCACAACGATGTGCTGTAAGCTTGTATTGCTTCTCCTGCTGCGGTGGTAATACCGCCGCCACGAAGAAAGAACTTTGGTAGATCAATACGTCCGCTAAGATCTGCACGTATACAGTACCCCATGAAGCCCCTGAAGCGCGTTTCGATACAAAACGGGTTAAGATGAATGAACAAAATCTTGCGCGGCAACGAAGCAGTCGTCACTCATTCAACGCGCAAGATTTTGCTTCTTGGTAAACTCTCTTCAGAGCACTGGCGGACTTGAGCCGTCCAATGCACCGATTATGTCCGCTCCTCGATCATGACACAGATATTCTGGGCAAGGGAGACGAATTTTGGAATATTTCAACCTTGGGATTGGGCGGCAACATCATGTTTTCGTCCAATCACGCGAAACGGATGACATATTTAAAACACTCCTTAACGTTATGTAACTTACAGTTAAATCCTTTACTTTATCACGTTACCGTAAACATACATACTAGTATATGTATTGTGTTGAGACACCTGTTTCTTTATCTCTTGCCTAAAATCTGTACCATATATTTCAGAAATACGATATTATTCCGTGTACAACCAGGAAGTCGTTGAGATCTGCAAACATCGCGCAGCACGGGAGGAAGGGGCGATGGTCTCTACAGTTCCTGCTACTCCGCAGCTCCAGCACGTCGTCATCTACGTCCTAGCCACGACATGTGGACGACGAGGTCCGAGGTGCCAGGTCGATGAAGTTGGGCCAAACATTGTAGGCGCTGGGTATAATTTGTCTCCCACACTTTCGAGGCCTTTGGGGAGTCTAATGTGCTAATCGTTCGTTAAGAAATCGAGGCGCTGCCACACCATTTGCACCGTGTGCGGCCGTGTCGTTCCGCCATGCGTATGAATGACCTGACGAATCGTCCCTTTGACCAGATCTGGGCTCCATGTCTTCGGCAGCACGCCAAACTGACTTCGAATCCACTCATCTTCTTCTTCGGTCCAGCAATCTACACCGTCATCAATTTCGTTATCGGATGAAAGCATGACTTCTGGCGCGTGTACCGAGAGGGAGCTGGCCACGGAGGTACTTGAATGCCACACGGGGGTTGCCTGAGCAACAGTACAGTGCATGCGTGACCACCGGTCGCGGCATTCCCGTCATCATGACCAAACGCTCCGTCATGCGATCGACGTCCTCGTCGGATGCTAGTTGGCGGGAAGAAGTATGTCGCGGTGGAGGTGCATGAATCCTCGGAGGTGTTGCAACCGCCGGCTCGAATGCTAGAATTTCCGCGGACGTCGAGCTTGAAGGAGGATCCCGCTGTATTGGCTGGACGGCACCAGTTACACATGGCACGCCCTGCACTGGGGTCGTCGGAAGTGCCTCATTTGCTGGTGGTTTCGCGTCGGGAGATGCAGCTTCTTCTGGAGGATCAACATGCTCGCTCTTAGCTGAAGAGGTCCTCGTCACTTCCACAGCCTCGGCAGTAATTGAATGGTTAGATGTCGCGAGCTCCGCAGACGCAAAGATTTCAGGCAACAATGGCGCGTCTTGTGTCGGAGGTAAATTGAACAGCGGAAGAGGAGCTCGAAGTTTTGCCCTGGGGGGAGACTTGGGCTCATCCCTCGGCCGGTTTGTAGCAACGAGATGCGCCTGAAGACATCGTTTGAATGATCCGATGAAGGGAATCGACGCCAGTACCAGGTAGGTGTTAATTAGCGCATCCTTCTCAGCGGGCGTCTTGTGCAACAGTTGCTTGCGGTAGTGCTCGTGCATGCTCTCGGCAGAGTGCGACGTCACCTAAGCAACTTGCGTTACCATGTCTTCCAGGGTCGATTGCACCTTGTCTTTCGCAGCGCGCTCCCAGAATGCACGCGGTAGCTTCTGGTTGATGTCCCGTTTGTGACTCTATCATTTGTCGTTACCGAGTAAATTCAACGAGAAAGAAAGGTACTCTTGCGAAAGATAGCATTGCGCCGCGCTCGACATTTGTGTACTGTTTGCGTCCGCTATGGGACGACGGTCGTCGCAGTTGCGATGGTGGCGTTTCCTCCCAGTCGGCAGTTAGCATGAATGGTTCGCGATCCAAGAGTTGTCCTGCCGCGATGCAGTGTTTGATGTATTCGATAGCTAAGTGATTTGGCAATCGAGAGAACAGCCTGACGCGCTCCATCAGCACGATTTGCTGTGGGGAATGTGTCATTGTGCTCACGACCTTGCCACCATGCGCCTACAACGCAAATGTGATCGAGGATGAACGCATCATCGTCAAATATACCTCGATCAGCTCTCTCACTTGCTTTCCTTCTTCGTTGCGCACAGATATGGCAAACTCCATGCCGGTAAACAGTGCCGTCTTTGCCGCCACCGCCGCCATCTTCGAGGGTCAAGAACGTTGCTCGAGGGGAACAAACCTGTTGTTTTGCAACTGTGCTTTCAAATGGCCCAATCATACTCCATTAAACAGGTTATACCCTCTCAAATTGGGCCAATCACAGACGCTTCAGGGACAAACATTTGTTTGAATTGCGAACGAGATGGGACGCCGCCAGGAGTCGTCGAGTGCCACGGCAGCAACTAAGTGAGCAGTAGAGCTGGCCGCGAATTGGTGGCGTGACTCGGTAGCTCTCGTGGAGCTTTCATGAAGACGCCATCAGGTGATACAATTGTTTTTGTTTGCGCGGAAGGCACCAGACAATGCCGGCCCCAGCTCAGACGCGAAGAACTGTGGCAATGAACCCTGCCACTTCAGCACGCCCACCACACAAGTAATTCTTCCTACAGCGAAAACCTCTCGAAGCTTGCATTCTACGGTCGATAGTTTCCTTCGAGTATTCGATGAACGACCAATACACTTGCTGATGAGATTGTGTCAATTTCTATTTTCTACAGCTGCAGAGTTGCCAATAATTCCAACGAAGAGCACATATATATCTTGGTGGTGACGCCTGCCGTAGCATAGTGACATGCGCATTCAACACCAATTTGAATCGATTGACTCCCAAGCAATGCTTATGGAGAAACCTCTGGCACTTGGGGTAAGACAAGCTTACAAACGGCGCCAAGCCCCGCTAGCTGTGGGGAGATGGCGACGTACACCGCAGCTTCACCGTCTTGTTATAGCGGAGAAGTTGCTGCCGGGAGTTCGCTTCAATTGTTGCTTTGAGGCGTCGTTGGGACGTTGGTGTTATAAGACAGCATGGCCAAAATGCCAGGTCAGGTTATCCGGATTTATCCGCACGCCAGTCGTGGGGGTGGTTTGATTGGCATCTTTCAAATCGCGCGCGACGACGATGGCGACACCAAAGGAAGACCCGCCGATCTTACCGACGCCGCTCGAAGTCCGCGTGCTGCAGAACGAAAAAGTAGTGATGCGAAAGAACTCGATTGGCCGCGAGAAGCAGGATGCGCTCAAGGATGCGCACGTGCTCATACTGTACACTGGTGGGACGTTTGGAATGACTCCGGACGCAGTTGGGACGCTCCATCCAAAGTCCGGGTTCCTCGAACAAAAGGTGCGCGAAATGGACGAGTTTAAGTTTGGCGGGATGCCCAAAGTCACGATCATCGAGTGGGAAGACCCGATTGACTCCTCTGACATGTGTCCGGCCGACTGGGGTCGCATCGCGCAAACGATTGAAGAACACTACTGGGATTATGACGGGTGCGTACCTTACTTGACAGTCGCAACGTTCTTTTTCACGTGCGATGCGTGGAAAATAGGTTTGTGATTCTGCAAGGTACAGACACGATGGCGTACACGGCGTCTGCGCTCTCGTTCATGCTGGAAAGCCTCGGCAAGCTCGTGGTGATCTCTGCCGCGATGATTCCATTGCACTTTCCGCATAGCGCCGCAACCTCATCATGTCGGTCCTGTGCGCTGCAAGTCTTGAAATTCCCGAAGTAGGTGCCTTTCAAGGAATACTTCTGCCACAACTCATCGCCGACTTCTTATTTCCCATAAAGGTGTGCATCTACTCGAACGACAAACTCTTGCGAGGCAACCGCACGACCAAGACGTTCAACATGGCCGTCGATGCCTTCCACTCCCCCAACCACCCCGTGTTGGCCTTGACCGGGGTCGAAACGATCCTAGAACATGGGCTCATCCTTCCGTATCCACGCCGTCGGTTCGTCGACGTACTCATCTACATGCGGCCACGCGCCATTGTGCTTCCAAGTGTCCATGACCCAACGCTGCATCATTTGAACTGAATGCAGCCTGCTCATCCTTGTTAATCGTAGTTTCAGCACGTTTACGAACCTCCACACCAACATTTGCGTGTTCCACTTGGTCCCGGGCTTTGACGACGACTGCATCACAGCATACGTTGAAAAGCACAAGCGAGAACAGCCCGACGCTCAGGCCAAGGCCATGGTAAATGCCTACAGTTCGTTTTTTCATTGAAAAGCATCGAGTAGGTATTTGCGCTGTACGGCACCGGAAACGCGCCGCTCAAGAAGGATGGGTTCCTCCAAGTGATTCAAGACGCCCTGGATGCGCACATCGCCGTGTGCGTCACGACCCAGTGTCTCCATGGCCGGTACGCTCCAATCGCTTTCAATCTCAGTTGCTCGAAAACGATGTTATCATGACTAGAACGCAGCTCGACACGTACGCGACAGGCATCAAGTTGCTCCAAATGGGCGTCATCACGTCGTACGACATGACAATCGAGTCGTGCGTGACCAAGCTCGCGTACCTTATGGGCAAGGGGTACAGAGGCCCAGAACTCAAGCTCAACATGGAAACGGTAGTGTTTGATTCAATTTGGAATCCTCTCATCTGGTGGCCTCGCAGGACTTGCGAGGAGAATTGAGTGTCTTGGACGTGACGGGCGAGACGGATCTGACACGACCCTCGAGCATGACGCGAAAGAAGGTCGTGAAGCGCATGTTGTCTCACTAGACCAACTTCCTTCCAAGCAACCGGTGGACATAACAACGTTCGAGCACGGAAAGCTATCTTCCTTCATCCTACACTGAGTTCGCGCTCGTCCTTGCTACTGTCTCTCTAGAGAGCCATCAAAGATGCAGCGGCCACGCTTCCCAACGAAGTAGGCAGAGTAATTTCTCTGTATCGTGGCAGAGTGCGGACAAGCGGTAGCCACCGACAGAGCCCATCGTTAGGAGGATCATATCCGTTGCATGTTCAACAGAAGCCTGGCAAGCGTGCCGACATGACTATGCTTCCGACAATACAGCATGAGAATACTGTTCACTCGTCAAGAGGGGCGTTCTGGCGTTGCTTTTGCCGGATGCATTGACAGAACGCTGGTTCGCCCCCGCAGCAATCGTGGTCGATGGCTTTGTCAATGGTTCAGGTTCATGCGGCAGTGGCACGGAAGGTAATCCTTGGTCCTCATCACATTCATCGGCACACTGCTAACTCCTACAGCAACTCGTCCAACTCTGGCGGCAACACTGAAGGCGGCGATGCCGAGACGCTGCGGTCTGGGCAGTCGTCGTCGTCGTAATCGTCGTCGAGGTTGAACTTTGCTGGGCTACGTTCACTTGGCGAAGTCGTCATGGCCACGAAGGTGTCATCGATCGCATGTTGACCTAGGTCGGCGTCCACTCGTGGCAGTCCCTCGTCGGCGTTCGACTCTGGCACTTCGTCCACGGCGGCAAGTGTCGGCCGCGTTGGCGTCAACGCGCATGCTTGGTTGATCGCACGTTGACTCTTCTTCGACAGCTTCTTGCCTTTGATTTCAAAATCCATCCCCCCAAACGACGACATGGGCTTTGCAATGTACTCGGCCTTGTGGATGTTCTCCCAACGTCCCGTGTCGGGCTTGGGCATTTTGGCCTGCCCGCGCCGCCATGAGCGACATGTGTCAGCACGTACGTACCATGCTGTTCTTTCGCTTCGCCGCATCGTACTCACGGACGTCGAGCATCACCTTAAGAATGTCCTCTAGACCCGTTTCGATGTATCGCTTGGTGACCGCCGTCGAGTAGTCGCATGCGGGGCTGCTGTTGACCTCAATCAGCCACGGCTATCGACGAGAACCCGTGAGCACTTGGCCAAGCGGTCTGCATCGCCGTCGTACCTTGAATGTTTCGTCCAGCATGAAGTCGTAGCCGTACAACTCGCACGAGTTCTTGCGATGCTGCACCGTATCTTGGACGCAGCTGAGCGACCACTTGACAATCTCCTTCATGCGCGGCTGGATCTTGGACGTGAAGATGGTCTCGTTCGTGTCGGGATCGAGGCCGTATTTCCGCGTGAGGTACGCGCTCAAGTCGTCCGAGTGCAGCATGTTCCTACACGAGTCAACTCGGCAGTGAGCACGAGCGACTTTGAAGTGGCGACCATGGCCAGTCCAGACGGTATACCGCCGTCGAGTCGGGCCACAGCGCCGCACACAGCAGCAGCAACCATCTCACCCTTCAATCGTTATCGACCCATCCTCCGTCGTGTACGCTTTGTAAAAGTTTTCGCCGTTCTTTTGGATCGAGTTGTTGGTCAAGTGCACGTACTGGTCGGTCTACAAGGCATCCCATCACGACGCACGTCGTCGTTGTAGTGGACCTCACCAAGTCATCGACCTGGTACTCCTCCGAGCTGAAGCGGAGGTAGCAGTCCAGGTAAAACCACACCGTGAGCGGATTCCACGACGTGACAAACACCCACTGCACCAACCGTCCCGTCATGCCCGCACAGTAGTCGATGGCACGTACCTGCCGAATGTCAAACTTGCGGTTGCACACCAAGAGGGGATTCTCAATGTACTTTTGGACGATCCACTGGCACTCTTTGTGGTTTTCCACGTCAGCGTACTCGAGCAGTTCATTCAGTTGGTTGAACACGCGAATGCCGCGGCCTCGCGACATGCCTGCCATGGAGAATTCGCCTGAGCCGATCGACGCATCACGACAAGCGGACCTGCTGGCTTGACGATCCAAACATTTTTACTGTCGGCGCCATTGAGATGGAACTGCGGACACATGTCCTCGAGTCCTACATGCGCCTCTCAGCGACCATGGACCAAAGTGACGAAGAACCTTGCAAGAGCTCCAGTACTTTGGTCGCCGTCTCGTTCGTGAGCGGCACAACTTGGCTCAATAAGGTGTTCAACCGCGCCTTTTCCTTGATAAACGCCGCCTCTGTCCACGAATCAGCCGGCATGGTGTCGAAAGATGCAGCGACTTGTAGACTTACCCATGAGTTTCTCGTGTCGCTTGGCCGCTTTCGCTTCCTCCTTGGCTTCACTCGGTGACAAGTGGGGGGGAGGTTGGTCCCCGAACTCTGACGACGCTGCCACGGACGGCTTGGTGAAGACGCAGGCCGGTCGAATCGACCCTGGGGCATCCACAGGGCATCGTTGGAGCACATCCCACTGAAGATCAGTCACGACGGGATCGATGCCTACCGGAGCGACCACGTCATGCAGCTCCATTCAAATCCCTCCAAAACACTCAAGGACATGGACGAACCGCACGCATTCGGGTTGTCCAAGACGTCGTCGGGGAGAATTTCCTGCCGCTTTCGACACACGGAGAGAACGACGTCGAGAACGCCGAGGTTTACAGACACAACGCTGGGCTTGATCGCGTTCAGCATCGCGCGGCACTGGACGCCCAACCGCTTGAGCATCCCTTCGGCGCGGATGTACCGAAAATCTTGAATGTACGACTACGCCGTCCCAACACGCCAAGGATCACGATGGGCTCCACGACACAAAGGTGCCAGGGACTTGAAAACAAAGGCCACATCGGCAAACTTACCTGCATGTCGGCGGGCTCGTTCAGGTCATACGCTCGTGGAAAGAACGAGTCGATATCTTCGCTGAGAAACCATGTGACACTACCCAACATCAGATGAGGTCATCGAGCAAATGATTCCGCGGACGCACTTGCGGAGGTTGTGCAGAAGCCCCGACTTGGTCGTGATGGCAGTGTTCTGAAGAAAGTGATTGACGAGCTGGTGCGACTCGGTGAGTTGGCGGCGACATCAACCCATCGCCGCACCTGGTCGTCGTGGAGCTTGACGTTCTTCAGGTCGTCGGACTTGAGGGCCCACTTCAAGTCAAAGTATGGCGAGTTCCGGTCGGGGTTGTGGAACCATCCCCGTTTCTCGAGTGTGTCCTTGATCACGGGGTACCATCCTGTCATGCAAAAGACCTGCACAGACCGTGTTATATGATGTGCAGACGGTCCACGTCATGCCTTGGTGTCGGGGGCCACGCCGTTGCGCTTCTTCCACGACGCAAAATCCTTTGCTTCGGGGACGAGTTGCGCCTCGCTCGTCTTGAGCTTGCTCAGCCGGGACACCATCGCTACAAGACCACCGGTTTCGAGCCCGTTCGACATGGATCACGACGCGATTACCCTCGACATTTACTTTGGGTCTGACTTCGTCGGCTTCCACGACGACTGGCGTGGCTGATTCCTCGGCGGCAGCAGCCGCCGCAGCTTTCTCCGCCTTGGCAGCTTCGTGCTTGAGCAGCGCTTCTTCGCGCACTTTGGCCCGTTTTTGGCGAAGCAGTTCATTCTTTTCATCCTCTTCCAACTGCTTTTGCTTGCGCTCGTCCGCCAACTTCTGCAAATACTCGACTTGCTTCTTCTTGATGGCTTCCTGCTGCAACGCTCTGCATCGATTCAAGTGAGCATTTCATCGTCTCGATGGGTTCAAGGATACCGCTGCTCCTTTTGCTCGGGCGTTAGACTGCTCTCGTCCTTTTCCTCCTTTTTTACGCGCACGGCACTCACAGCGCTGCCCGCCGCCGCCTGGTTGAATTTGTCCAACGCATCTTGCATGCGACTTGGGACTTCCTAGCGAGGATCACAGGGTCGATGCCTGCGTCTTGACGTAATGCTAGAGATTGTTTGGGGTACTGTCGTGCCCAGTGACGCCTTGCGCGTGAGCTCCTTCTTCTTCTGCGCCCGCTGTCGTTCCGCTTCGGCCGCCTCGGCCTCCTTTTGCCGTTTGACCTTCAGCGCTTCCAGCGTTGCCTATTGGAGAAATGTCGTTGACCTGTGCAGTGAACAAGACGTGCGATAGACCTGTTGCTTTTGAAGCAGTCTCTTTTGCGCTGCAGCTTTGGCCTTACGCTCTTCGTCCGTCAAGACGTCGTCCCTAGAGATGGCCAGAGCCGTGATTGACCAGCCATTCATGATCACAACTGCCTACGCGGCAGGGGAAGGAGCTTCCGATTCGTCCTGCGGGGACCTCGTGGAGTCGACCGTGTCGTGGCCTCCAGCATCCGTTTCCGTGCGAATAGACGCAGCTCGCTGCAAGATGCTCTTGCGCAGTTTGAGGCGCAATCGGCGCTGTTTCTCGGCCTTGGCCACTTCCTCTTCGCGAGCTTTGCGCTTCTTTTCTTCCAGATCTTTGATGTATTGCTGGTGCTTGTCCACGACGGCGGCCTGTCCGTCCAAATCAAACACGACATGAATCGTTCCAAGCACGGCAAGTACGGTAAATACCTTGGGCGGAGTTGCACTCTCTTGCTGGTTGTTGCTACTTGGCGCTTCGTCTGGTTGCGATGACTCCGTCGCTGCCAGTTGTACTGGCAATGCATTGATCGGCGTGGGCAACTTGACGCTCCGCCGAGGAATCTTGCTCACAAACGCCTTCTTCGTCGGCGATGTCACGGCGGCTTGCCATTCTGGGTTCGTGCCCAACACATCCGTCGGCACCTCCGACGTCGCCATGGCGAACACGTGCCGCGGTTGATATCGGTTTCGCCACGACAGTCGCGGTTACAAAACAACCGTTCCAGCTTTCCAAGTGAAACGGTCGCCGGTTTCATGGTAGTCACGCCATTCGCGACATGAGGCCACTAGCCTCTGGGCGTGCCGCATGATGGACGGCGCAAGAACATCCTGGTGGTGACGAGCTCCAGCTTCATGCGTTGCTCATGTGTGCAGGAGTGCCGATGCAAACTGTACTCGTGTGCGTCGTCATTAGGGATGTGGCTGACTTAGTCGCTTCGACTGGGCTCTACAGGGGCGACGGCCAAATCGAGCCGGTTCGCGATGTAGGCGGCCCCGGTCCACTTGGCGACGTGCTGGAGCGGTTTGGTCATCACGCTGCGGCACTTGACATGGGACGTGACCGTCGTGAGGGCGTGCGGGTGCAGCAGCATCTCGCCGTGCGTGAACCCGTCCCACCAGACGACCTCGACGTCGCCCCCGGTCGCCAGGTGGCCGTGCACGTCGTTGGCGTTGATGATCAAGTCATGGCTCGACAGAAACACGGACGCCGCGGCGTGGCTCGTCACGGGGTCGCGCGGCAAGTGCTCGGGGAAGCACACGATGTTGTACCACCAAAAGTGGCGGCGCATCACGTGCACAATGTGCACCTCGGTCGAAGCAAAGTACCACAACAGGACCTGGATGCCGGTCGTCGGACGCCGGTACAAAAAGTTGTACGCGACGTCGTGCTTCCACAGAAAGAACACGATCGGGTCGATGAACGTGGCGTGACTGACGGTGTGCGAGAAATGTCCTTTGATGTGCGGTGATCTCTGCGCTGCATTTTTACCTCTTCCACGGACGTTTGGAGGTTTGGCGTGTAGCGAACCATGGATTTAAATGAGCGCGGAATTGATCGAGTCGTGTGGCGACGAGCGGCGAGATCTGGAACGTTGAGGCTGGTTTTGCTGTGTTGCTTCGAGTCGCCGTTTTGTGTGGAGGAAGTACATCGTGAAGTTGGTGTCCAAAGAACAGTAGATGATCCATGGTATCGTGCTCTACTTGCTCCATTCCATCCCCAGTACTCTGAGTTGGTTGGCTACAAGGCATGTACCAGCGCAATATGTGTCAAGTTCACGATGGCCCAGAAGCACCATCACATTCGAAGTGCTCACGGAACGAACACCTACCTGACACGGCCAACGATGAAGAGCAGGCATGCAACGTAGCTCCATGTCTTGCGCGATCGAGTGTGCATGTGCGCGCGAAGGAAGGATGCAAGAGGACTCGCCGAGGTCGGCTGCGGATTGCGATGACGCGACAGTGCCAAATTTCGACATCTCAACGCAGTCAGCACCACTCAAGTGACCTAAGATCTCATTGACACGATGGATTTTAGCGAATCATATCGATTCAAACGACCAAAATCCAGTCACTTGAAGGTCCCCAACATGTCGGATTCGTCGACAGCCCCAGTCTAGTAAACAAGTTGGTGTATTCGAGACACGACGGAGCCCACTACGGAGGTCGAATGTGCATGCAAATCCACTTCGCGGGGCACAGCATCCAGTCATGACGCGGCCACGGTCAAGCTCGAGCTTCGGGCGATACATGCACGGTCAGAGCGGGCGGTTAAGGAAGGTTCATCCACAAGGGTAACGGAACGACTTTCGCCCAGTATGTTCTCGAAAAATCCTGTTCAAGCAGTTCTCGCGGCCTGCAGGTCGTGCGCGAAATGTACAGCGGACGTGCCGCGGCAGGGCCAACCACACTCGAACGCCGTGGCTGTATTTGACCAAGGCCAGAGAGTTGGAGACTTGTGCAGATGGGGTGCGAAGGTTGAAGTTTTTCTCGACTTGTTGTCAACACGATGGATGACGCAGGGGGCGTCAGAGGGGGGGGGCACCTACATCAAATACAAGTTTCAAGTACATGTAAAAAAGTAGGGACCCCCCATTGATTACAGGTGGAAGATTTGTCGACTAATCCTACAGAAAATGGTTGAACTCTAGGATTGGTTGAAATAAGTCAGATATTTGAGTCTCGTCGAATTGAAATGCATTTCGACGCAATCATGAACCAATCGTCTTGCAACCCATTTTGGTTATATTCCCACGAGGTTGCAGTTACAATGTAGAAAATCTGCATATCGTCAGTCGACGGGCTCGCACGAACTCAAGGCACTGGAGAACATGGCTGACATGCCCGCTCGTCGTCGCGCCAGCATGAAGCATGCGCCCACGACATGGGACTACTATGTATGCCTTGTCTGCATTGTATGGCCGATTCGGTAGGACACACGCTGCCATTCTAGACTCCTAACCCCACCGAAGGGCGATTGTACTCTTGACGCCTATCGCGCTGACCTTTCTCGCGGTGAATCAAATCGGGTGGCTGGGGGATGCCCTCCCTAGACTGCCTGCGCTGGTGGGAATGGTCTACTGTGCCTCGGAAACACTCTTCACATTGTACTACCTCCACACCAAATGGCGACTCGGGCAACGCAAGCTCGATCCACCCCACCTGATTGCAGATCTTGCTTCCCGGCGCCATGCCCCATCGTCAGTGATGGAATTCTTTGAACGGATGGTGCGCCATACACCCAACGTCAAAGAATTCGTCGAACAGGTAGGCCATCGTCGAAGCCCAGTGCCTCAAGCAAACCTTCTAGTGGTTCTACGACACTCCATTTGAATTCCTCACTCGTCCAGACATCCAAATGCTCCTCGCATATATATTTTACTCCAGGGAATGGCACGACATGGCACAAGAGGACCAACATGACGTCGACAAGATGGTGGATCGACTGTACGAACTGACCCAAGTCCCCGAGCCTCGCCACGCATCGACACAGCCGACCCACTGCATCCGACACACGCTCGACCCGTTCGAGTCCGTCGCGCGGCCGTGGCTCATCTACGCCGTTACGATCGGAATGGATGCGGTCATGAACGTCTTTCTCCGCCTCGCGGGGTTCCGCCGATACCCCCTCACGAAGGGCCTCCGGTACTGGCACCGAGGCGCGACGACGACGACGCCGGTCGCCGAGCCGCTCGTGTTTGTGCACGGGATCGGGGCCGGTCTCATGCTGTACTTGCCGCTGGTGTGGTACCTCGTGACAGCGCACGAGAACCGTCCGATCCTGCTGGTCGAGACCCCGTGCGTGTCCATGCAGCTGGTCGAGGACGTCCCGACGAAGCGCGACACGCTCGTGGGCCTGCAGGTGATGCTGGCGGCGCACGGCATCGATAAGGCGCACTGGATGGGCCACTCGCTCGGGACGGCGATCTGCAGCTGGGTCTGCCTCGAGCTCCCGCACACCGTCAGTCACGCCACGTTCATCGACCCGATCGTGTTCTTTCTGTGGAAGCGCGACGTCGCGTACAACTTTTTGTACCGGCGTCCGACGACCGGCATCCAGGTCCTGTTGTGGTACTTTGCTTCGACCGAGGTGCACATTGTGCACGTGATGCGCCGCCACTTTTGGTGGTACAACATCGTGTGCTTCCCCGAGCACTTGCCGCGCGACCCCGTGACGAGCCACGCCGCGGCATCCGTGTTTCTGTCGAGCCATGACTTGATCATCAACGCCAACGACGTGCACGGCCACCTGGCGACCGGGGGCGACGTCGAGGTCGTCTGGTGGGACGGGTTCACGCACGGCGAGATGCTGCTGCACCCGCACGCCCTCACGACGGTCACGTCCCATGTCAAGTGCCGCAGCGTGATGACCAAACCGCTCCAGCACGTCGCCAAGTGGACCGGGGCCGCCTACATCGCGAACCGGTTCGATTTGGCCGTCGCCCCTGTAGAGCCCAGTCGAAGCGACTAAGTCAGCCACATCCCTAACGACGACGTTAGCGATGAAATACGGAGTAGCGTTTGACCTGGCTGTCCGTGAGCCAATCCACACGCGGTCCACAAGAAATACTCGTGCTTTGTTCACGCACGATCGAGATGGCGACGATGTCGCAGTCGTGGGCCTGCCAGCAACTGTGCTGTCGAGTCGACTGCTTGCTTCCAACCGCGTCACCCTCATTGTCCCGTCCCAGAGAACATCGCTCCAAATAAGTTTCAAAATATCTCGTTCTGTCTTGGATTGTAGTATTGAGCATTTTTCAAGTTAACCAAGTTCAAACATTCCATGCTGCATTTTCGGTCATATTATTTCACATTGGGAATATATTGCATTGTCTCATCATTGGTGTGTTGTTGTATTCGATGCGGTGTGTCCCTTCGTTTGGATTCGCTGGCACGGCCAACGCGATGCGCATGCTCGCCGAACGTTCTGGGCTGTATCGTGGGACTTGTCAACAAAGGCTCGCGCACGCCCAAGGATCACAATCCATGGCGGCACGGATGCCATTGTGCCATAGACGAAGCTAGACTTGCCCTCATGATCGCCATGATCGATCCACCGTGCTTGGTGCAGGCGATTGAAGGCCTCTTCATCGACAGGCTTTGCACAGACGCCATCCCCCTCCGTATACACACAGGCAAAGGCTGAGACACTGCCATAAACGTCCCCTCGGAGTGAAGCTGGATGCTGTGTGGTTGCTCAGCAGCACGCCTCGAGTTGCTGTCGCAACTCTAAAGTACGCAAACGTTGGATTGTAGCGACGGCAACCAGCCAGCGCGGAATCGCCGCCCTGTGCATCCTCCGCATCTTTCAACGTGAAATATCCGGATACAAAAATCCGGATAACGTGAATAGTACACTACATACAAACTTCAAGTCAACAAACTCGCCACTTTTTACCTTGATCGCGCGATGAGGCCGACGCGACATCCCAAGTTCCACTCGCGATGGCACGCAGCAGACAACCCCACTACCCGCTCCCGTCGACGTACTTTGCATGTCCGCCGCTGTCGAAGAAGGAGGAAGCGCACTTCGTCAACCTCGGTGAGCAGTCGTTGCGCTTGTTTGTCGAGAATGCGCTGAACCCGATCGACATGTCGTGGACGTCCCACGGCGAACACGGCGGCATGCGGGTCTTCGAAGGTCCGCCAGATCGCCGCAACAAGAGTACGAGTGTAATCAAGGCGCTTTTGACACGACCTCCTCGATTGTGACATTTTCGTATAGATTTGGTCCCCCACCGCGCCATGTCGACGATTCACGGCACCCTCAAGGAAGTTGCCATGCTGCACGCATACGAAACGAGGGAATTGTGTCTGCACCACGTCGCCAGGTTCAAGGCTTCGTCTTCGTCTTCGCATCATCTGCTCGACTTGATTCCCCTGTACAACTTTGTCGAGCGCACGGAAGACACCCCGTTGCGGCAGACGTACGTGATGTGGCGCGCCGTGTCCGTATCAAATGTACCCATGGTGAAAGACCGCGATTTTCTCTACTTGGAGAGTCAGGACGAGTTCACGTTGGAGGACGGGCGGCGAGGATGGGCATACTGCCAACACTCGATTGCGCTGCCCTCTTGTCCACCACAAGCCTTGTCGGCCATGTCGCTTCTTCGCGGGTCCTTTTACCATACAGGATGCATCTTCATGGAATCTGTAGACTATCCAGGTGTACTCGACGTTCGCGGGCACTTTGCGATCGACTTTAAGGGGAGCATGCCGATGTGGCTCCGTCGATTGTGCATCCAGAAACAGGCCGCGCAGATTGGGAAACTCGAGCAGCACGTTCACGAGTTTCGACTGACGGCAGTGCCCATCCGATCCATCGACGACTGCGAGTCCGTCCTCCCAAAGCAATGTTCTCTCTGCACGCGATCTCTGTCCAAGTTGTTTGCATTGTCCACCACCAGCAGTCCAAAGCAGCATTGCTGTCAGGTGTGTGGACTAGTTGTGTGCACCCGGTGCAACCAGCGATGGCAGCGCCAAGACGAAGTCATCAATGTGTGCATCAACTGCTCCAAGCACATTCGACATCGTGAAAGCATGGGATGGCAGGTGTACTCGACCAGAGGAGGGCGGGATTCTGTGGGGACAATGGTCTTGAATCGGCCATCCCGGTCCCGCATGCTGCTCTCGATCACGGCACCGACTCCGACGCCACATAGCCATCCACGGTCAGTGCTCCCCGTCGTCACATTGGGCCAAGGCGACCACGGCGTCACCCACCGTTCGACGCACCCACCGAACGCGACAGAAACCATGGACATGACGGCATTCGTTGAGCGGCAGACCCGTGTGCGGGAAGCCAAACGAGAACGAATCCGCCAAGCCATGTACAACGAACTCCCCCCCGGCATGGATCGGTTCGTCGCTCTCGACACGGTCCGCAGCGACCACACCGTGAACACGCGGCTGCACGACAGCATCGTCAAGGTCCACGACTTGCTCGAGCAGCAAAGTCATCTCAGTGACAACGAAGTCGACTCCACAAAAGACTCCCACGACCAAGACAGGTCAGTCGTGCTCTTGGACAGCGTTGCGGTGACGAGCGACCATGTCGCGCATCTTCTTTCCACCCGCGACGTGCCATCGCGTGCTATAACCGCGGAGCCAACACACTCGTTGGGACATGGCAGCTGTGCGTCGTCGCTGTCGAGTCTGGACTCTACGATAAGCTATGTTGAAGAGCCGCATGACAAGTCTAACGTGCATCTCGTGCTGCCAGCCGTCGATGCCTACGACCGGAACGACGCACCGTCGCTCTCACGGCTGGTTTCGCAGGTGTTCCAAGCATAGCTCGATCGCTTTTGCCGCCCCACGTCCTCGTAGATAACGTACACGTCCATCATGCTCGTGGCAATCGTTGAAAAGGTTTCGGTGGCGAAGAATCGCATCAAAGAGTGTTCTCGGCCTCGTCGTGACATGATGGGATGAAGCAATAGATATTGGAGGGCAGTAGCACCTAGACGCCGTCGAGTTCTTCGGCGGCGAGGTGGGTGTCTCGTGTGCGAACGTGTGCGTCGCGAGCGAGGGCATTCCAGTCGACTTGTACGAGCCAAAAAAAGCCATACAGAGCGCAGAGGAGGAAGGCGACGGATATTCCCAACCACAGACCGACAATGCCGTTCTCGAAGGCATCGGCCAGCGTAATGCCGAGAGGAAGTCCCACGAGCAAATTTGCGACGCCGTTCAGAATCGCCCCTGATACATGCACGTAGTGACGAATCGCAAAGAAGCATGACAGCACACCTCGGGTTTGCTGGCCGCTTCCTCGAAAGATGCCCATGATGCCGACGTAGATGGCGACGGTGGTTTGGAACGGCGCGCACACAAGCAGCAGTCGCGCCGTGAGTAGGACGACCTCTTTGTCCTGAGTGTACAAAAATGGAAATGTGTGGCGAAATACGACCATGCACACTGCCGCGACGATGCCCAAGCTCGCACACATGGCGACGCATTGCCACGCAGCGAGTCTTGCGCGGGTTGGGTCGTTGGCACTAACGAAAGCGACGTTTTGCACATTCCAGACGAGACCGAGGCGTGTTGTACCCCAAAGCATTGCCGACTCGAACAGATCCCGCCACGGCCACGGGACCATACAGCATGTAAAAGAATCCGCGAAAGCCATGCATGCACACGTCGGCACTGATGGCGACTTCAGCATTTGGCAGCATGCCTGGACGATGGGCGTTATACGGCATGCAAGTACATGATCCATCGCACCTGCTACGATGGAAGCAATTGAGATTCCCCACAGCTCAAAGCCCTGCATGGCAGCCCCAGAGATGCCAAGATGAAGTACTTTTGGCACCAATATCCACGCGGCGTGGAGGTCCCAGCCTACGGCATGTCCGATTTTGAGCTTTGCGACATAGAGCCGCTGACCTTTCCACTCTTGACGATAAACAGGGCTTCCAACCAGGTACGGCCACAGCAGCAACGGCGCAAGCAACGCCATGATGACGACAGCAACGGCGCGGCCAACGTATCCCAACGATGTGTGGAACATAAGGGCATAGTTGATGCCAATGTTGGCCACGACACTGACGCACGAGACTGCCATCAGAGGCGTCACGATGTTTTGACCTGCAATACGAGTTGCTCAGTTCGTTGGAGGAGGAGGCTATTTACATGGACCGTACTTTGAAGGACGCGCCGAAGCAGATCGTAAAACAGAGACACGGGGAGAATGGGCAGCATGAGGAGCACGAGGTGGCTTGCCAGCGTTGACACGGCACTGGTCTGGCCAAACACTAACAGGATTTCTTTGCAAAAGATGCCCAAAACCATCGTCGGAAGTAAGAGGAGGTTGCCCTACGAATGGCAGTGTTCATGGTCATCGAGTAGTACCAGAAGAGAATGAGTACCGCCAACCACCCCGCTTGAAACACAAGTCCGAGATCTGTAGCCTGACCTGCGCCGTACGACTGCGAACACAACGTGTCCATCGCGGACCCGGTGCCCCATACGACGGTCCAAGCCGTGAGCAGCAGAAATGTCATACCCATTGCAATCGCCGAGATGTATTCTTTGCTCGTGGCGGCGCTGAGGTGGCCCATCATCATGATTGGCACAACCGATGAGACATGGTCCAACGCAGCGCTCAAGATCTAATTTCCACGACTTAGGTCCCCGTTCATGCACAATTATGGACATACCAACGGCAAAGCGAGGGATACTAGCGGTCGCAATTCACGCCACCCTATCGCTTGACCCAGTTGAGCCGACATGTCTTCCCGGCGAGGCAACGATGACGGCAGGGATCGGTTGAGCAGCGGGGTGTCTTCCTTGGGCGTGCCGACCAAACAAGACATCATTTCTTTCTCGACGCCGCACTGCGCTGCACCTTTCGCCATACCTCCGTCTCGAAGGATCGAGCGTTTGCCCGAAGGAAGCTGCTGTGATGATCATCATGGCTCCCTTCGACATTTTTCAACGACATTCGATGTTTTGTTTCACAAAAACCAATGCATCCACCAATCAAATCTCCCCATCGTAGAAATAAGCCAATCAAGTTGCAGCACGGATTGTGGTTTCGATATCAAATTTGATAAGAATAAAGTGTCGCGGTTTCCATGATCGCGAGGATTGTGAATGTCTCGGCGAGCAATTCCACTCATTTGGATTCGCGTCGTGCTCGAATAGTAGTATACCTCCTTCGTTCGATTCGTGAGTATTTGTATAACGTGACTTGGATTAGCCAACAGAATATCAGAATTCTTGTCATTGGATAAAATGAAATACTGCAACAAATAACACCTTTAGTACTTTATGGTGGGAAACTGCAA